GACCTTATGGGATATACTTCCTTCATGCCTGAGGTTCAAACCTTTGTAGGTGTGTACGGCAGCTGAGGCCATACTCGGTAGATGCGATGTGATCATCTCGATTGCTACCCTCTAGTCCTCTGAAATATAATTTTTCAATTTTCTTCAGCGTATTGGTCAATGTTTACTTCTAACTTGATGATATTTGTACACACTCTGCACTCTAGTCTATTTACTTAACGGTTACGTATTTGGTTGGGACCCCACAGATACGAGGCCGAGATCGCGGCTCAGGCTATTCTGGATGTGAGCAACACAGGCAAGGTGGACGAGCGACCGCAGATGGTACTACACATTGAGGGCCATTTGTTCGACAAGAATCTGCTTAACCGGCTCATGGATATCGCTGTAGATTCACCCTGTGACTTTGAGGTAAGTATTTGATCAGCATGCGACTGTGTTGTACTTAGGCATGGTGCACATACTCACATGTTGTACACATACTCACATGTCGTACACATACTCACATGTCGTATTCCATCGCAGGTGCAAGACATACAGTGTGCTAGTCGCAACGAAAACATCTCGCACTGCAAACTGCGATTCTGGGGCAATTCGACCGGAGCGGATGATCTGGTACTATTGAAGAAACAGATAGGCACTATGGTTGAGGCTAACGCGTTAATTTCCGACTGCCGCATGACCCAACTCTCCGCTACAGGTGTGTGTCGATAGCGTTGAATACAGGTGGAAGGTAGTACATGTAGGTATCTGTTGCGCGAATTTGCTGTATATTTCGCCGGTGTTCTATAAATAGGATCGGATGTATGGAGTCTATACATTTATGCGATGCCCGGGGCTTATCTCTGCCGTTCGACCCCAAACTGTGTCCGGCAGGAGGTGTTGGGGCACCCTTAATTTCTTGATGATAAGTTATTACACCACCGCATAAGTTACTACCTATATCTTGAACTTGATACCTACATCTTGAACGTGATACCTACATCTTGAACTTGATACCTACATTTTGAATTTGATACCTACATCTTGAACGTGATACCTACATCTTGAACTTGATACGGCATCTTGAACTTGATGCCTACATCTTGAACTTGATACCTACATCTTGAAAGTGATACCTACACCTTGAACTTGATACCTACATCTTGAACGTGATACTTACATCACGAAGTTCGTACCTGCATTTTAAGTCTATCTTGGAAATCCAACGTGTATTCAATGCGCACCCGTTTCCGGTTGTTCTTTATGCTTAGGAGATATGCCGGCAGCGTCTGGCGATCTTTGAGTTCATTACACGCACACACAACCCAAATATGGTCATACAGACAAAGCGCGGGGCTATGGCGTACCCCTGACCCGTCCAAGTGATGTTATTGTCGATATGTAGCATCTAAATATGCATCAACCGCAAGTACTAGTGACTTGGGAGACTGATTGCTCACAGACGGGACAAGAGTAGTTGGTCACCATAGAGTGCGCGTCCTGTCCCAATAAACGTAGTCTTTTATTATGGGGGCCGGTCTAAACGATCGACAGGTGTTGCATGGCTTAGCTGTATCATAATTAGTGAACCTGTTTTGCCCGCTGCGGGGTATTCCGGGTTTGAAGTTGGACTCGAAAAGGCACCGATGGGGTCGATGTATATATATATATATATATATATATATGCTAGTACGTCGGCGCTCATTAGTATGCGTCGGTACC